ACACACACACACACACACACACACACACACACACACACACACACACATACACGTATCCTCCTGCACCCCTGGCCTATTTTTTGGGAAATCCCCTCCCTGTAGTAGAGGCGTATTCATTCTGAGAGGCTTGACCGTAATCTCTTTTCTCGACTCGCCGACATGATGTGAGCCTCAAACCTGGCCTGGCAAACCTTTAAGTGCACTTAGTTTTCTTGGTTTGTTTTTTTTGTGAAACATGAAAAAACTCCTGCATGCTTTCATTTTTATTTGGAACTTTTTAAAGGAAACAACCGCATGTACTGTAGATGCTGCAGATACATACATGTTGTGTGCTATCTATCTATCTATCTATCTATCTATACCTGTAAGGCGAACAATAGTATCATATATCTTACAGGATGATCATACTGCTGTATTTCACACATGAAAAATGTTGTTGTTTCGTAGCTACTGTATAATAACACTTAAATACATCTTCTGATACTTTGCCAATATTATAGTCAGGCATGCAAGATAAAAGACAAAGCCTTTAATACAGTAAACTCCATAAAAGCTATGAGCAATCACCCAGTCTTTCTCTCTCATTCTAACCCCTCCTGTTTAATCGAGCAGAGCAATCTGAATAATCACAGGTTTCCTCAAAATCCTTTTTTCTGCTGCGTCATCATCTGTATCTTAAGTCGTGTGCCAGTCAAAAACTCCTTTGTCTCCCTTCCCATCGTAACAAAAAACTGCTACGACTTGAATTGTTCAGGCACGTGAATTGGAATAATTAAACTATTATCCATGCAAACCAAAGTCGATAAGAGGAGTTTATTTTGTTACAAAGGGGTAGATGGGACTGCAGGGTGATTATAGAAACAGAATATCTATTGGCAGGCACCCTTTAATCAAGTTATTAGGAATATTCCAAACTGTAAGAGAAAGTACAAGGCAGGTTAATTTGAAGGACAGAATTGTAAGGGCCATGCTGAACCAAATAGGTTGAAACAGGTGTATTTCAGGATTTTATTAAATTGCAGTGATTTCTCAGGTAAAACAAGCTTATCATTTTTGTCCATGTTTTCCTTGGTTTCTGTTGATGTAGTTTGGCTCTGAGAAAGACCTGAGTCAGAGACTTGAAGTGAGGGAAAGGAGATGATGGAGAAGACAGGACGAAACTTTAGGCGCCAGAGGTGACAGCCATGAGTGTGTGTTAAGACCAGAGGAAGAAAGAGACAGAGAAAGAAAAGCAGCGGGTCAAAGACCACCACTCTAATGTCCAGAAGGGGATCTTCTTACATCACTGAGGGCTCAGTAAAGGAGCCCACCATGCATGGTTACTTCCAGCAAACACAGCCGCGGAGGAGCCCCTCAGTCAATCTCACACACACACACACACACACACACACACACACACACACACACACACAGACACACATACACACTTCCAGTGAGGGATGTGCAGTTTGTCTCTTGGTTCTCTTGTTTCAGGGAGGTCAACTGTGTGACAGTCAGAGGTGACACCTTTCCAGCGGGAGAATTCTCATCAGTTCATGACAAATTACAAAGCTCCCATTTCACCTGTCTTTCACCACCTTCCCGTCACAAGATAGTTGTGTGGTTTGGTCACGTCTTGTATACGTTCAGCTGTTTTGGTTTGTTTTTGTACCCAATAAAATGGTAAAATACATCCTTTCAGTAGTGTACAACTACTACTACCACTACCACTGCTACCATGTATTGGTGGCAAACACAGTATACCAGTAAAAACAATAATTTTCTTACATTTCTTTTCGTACTACATGGAAATGCATCATATTGTCTCTGTTTCAAAACTAAGGATAATATTCTTTTCAACAAGCCCTCTCAGTACGAAGCATGTCCCAAAGGTTCAAATCAAATACCGGATGTTGACTTTCAGTAACTCATACAACCACAGTACCATTTATGGTTTAAGACAAACATTCTGACATACTATAACAGCCTTTTCCAAATATGTGTGTTATTACTGCATTAATCTCATAGAGTATGGCAATAAGTGACGCAACAATTCCTAAACTTGCATTACACTCATTGTACATAAACTAAATTTCTTTTTAAATACAGTGCTAGAATTGTCTAACAAGACAAACACACAGGGCAAAAAACTTTCTGGACCTCGTACCAACCTTTCCCCATTAGATTTGACTAGGAGAGGTGAGTATAGGACAAGATGAAGCACTCAATGGTGCACAACTTTCTCTTGCATGCGACAAGCCTGCACAAGTGCTAGCTTGAGTGAGTGTGAAATAATGTCTCTGTGTGCAGGTTTATGTGCACAACAGTCACTCAGTAAGACAGAGACCAAGAAAAAGACGGAGAAGCACACAAACACACAGACACACACATTCGCCAAAGCCAAGAAAGTGTGTGTACTCACGGTCCATGTTGCAGATTTGGCGGTGCTAGACTGCTGGAAGGACACCTGGAAGGTGTGCAGTCCGGGATAGTCAGTGTTGGAGGGGATGGTCGGGGCAGGTGACAGGCCCTCAAAGGTTGAGTTGGGTTGGGAGTAGGGTGAGGGGGTGGGCACGGTCGACGAGGAGGCGTTCTCCGAGCTGTAGGGGCTGGCGGACGTCGCACGGCTCCCCAGGCTCTCCATGCTGCTGCTCAGCAAGTTGTATTGGGACTGTGGAGAAAAGAAGACGGCAGAGAATGAGGGAAGCAAAGAGGGAAGGAGGGAGGGAGGAGAGAGGGAGGGTACAGGTAGAGGTGTGGGACAGACAAGGGCTTGGAGGCTTACAATAGGTCGGATTACAGCAAGTTACAGGTAGTGTGTTGGACGGGTGCATGTATAATTGTCTAGTGATCAACGCTGGGCCCTTTTTGTGCGATTTATAAATGAAAAAGACTTACGAAAAACGAGAGTAGAGACACAAACATGACTTTGTGTGTGTGTGTATGATTGAGTGTAAGTGAGTGCCAGTTGCAGTGAGTTCCCCACAGTAGCCTCCTTGGGGCTATTTTAGACAAGTTGTAAAACACATGCATAATCTGCCTAATTGCCTGCCATTGTCCTCTTTTCCTCTCCACTGTGTTTGAGAAGAGGGAAAAATCGTTGCACTGAAGTGTGTGTGGTGACACACTTGTCAAAATGAATGCACTCTGTGACTGTGGACGGAAAACTGCTTTGTGGGTGCTGTAGTTATTAGTTTTTGGATCACCCATGTTCATGAGTTGATTCCCTGTCACTCAACTGGAACAGAAACACTGAAAAGTCAGAACGCACAAACAGCCAACTACAGTACTGTGAGTCCTCCTGTCCACGTTCTTATCAACATCAGACAATTCATTTCTTTGAACAACAAACTATTATCCGACCAATTTAACATCAGTTGATACACATTCAACAAGACAAACTGACCTACAATAATATGAAAACACACTTTTCTATATTGTGGATTTTAAAAAATATCCACAGATTTATTCCTGCTGTTTGAACTGTATACATATATGTGTGTCAAATAACTGACACTGATGCTCAAACTGAAATAGCAACACATACGCACACAATTACCCTATGAGCAGAAGAAAAAACAAAACATTTTTACCTTCTTTTTCACGTAGTACATCTTCTAGTGCTCTAGTCTCATTTGTCAACTCTTCAGTCAGAAACGTCCAAACAGATCAAAGCAAAGAGAGTGCAGGACTATAGCGTAACCAGAGAGTTCAAGTGAGGTGTGCATCAGTGCAACACCCAACACACTCATGCACACACAGACACATGAACAGCCAGGACAGGGAGAAAGGTGAGGACTGGTGTAGAGAGAGAGAAACGATAGACTGAGACAAAAAGGGAGAGCGGGAGAGAGGGAAAGACGGATGGGAACCCAAAAAATGGTACAACGTTCTAATTATGGCAAGCCCGGACATAGACGGCAATGCCGGGGCACATGTACACACACGCTCCAAAACACCTTGTGAAGCCCTGCACTAAGTAAACACTGTCTGGTCTGACAGAGAGTGGGAGAGAGAGACAAGAAGGAAAACACATGAAAGAACAAGAGTTCAAGGGTCAGACCCACCCAGTATTGTATATCAATATAGCATTCAGTCAGCAGTCAAGGCTGGACTTTTTTTTAAAACATCAGGTCGGGACGCTTTGAAAGAAATCATTGTTCCTGGATGGAAATTATCTGAATAAAAGGTTTATTTTAATTGTATACTCTATGGATGTTTAGGGTTCAAAATAAGGAGTTTTTACATGTTTGGTCATAATACACATCTAAAATGAAACCAAGCAATTGCAGTAGAATATAATTTATAAGGCTGTCCTTGACCAAAGAAGTTCTTCGTCAACTAACACTCAACTTATCGATTAGTTAATTTACTCAACAGATCTGTAAAACTGAGTTCCTCCACAAAGAATCACACAAAAGCAACACTTTAAATTTGGTGTTCATATGTTTTGTTGGAAATGAGTCACTCCGCCTGGAAAAAGCATAGAAAACGACTAATCGACCAAAGAAATCTTAGTTGACTCAGACCAAAATAACCAACTAGTTGACAAATCAACTAAGAAGGGCCAGCCTTTATTATTTAACAAAATAAACAACGCTTTTGGGGGGAATTCAATTATTGATATTCAATTTGTATGCAAAAAATGCCACCAATTGAAAAAAATTTGATTTGCTCAAACTTTATCAAAGACGACTAATGAAATGTCCTCTGCAGCTCAAAGGAAAGTAAAATGATAACTTATCGCCTGAGGACATAAATAACCTCCTTGACCTGTTGGTCACTTTGTTGTCCAAAACAACAACAAACTCTCTAGCACCTGGAGAAGACGAAGTACAACGGATAACGCGAGTATGCCGGCTGAAAGCATGATAGCAGTGCTATCTTTCCCCCAGGCCCCCCATTGCACACCTCACGTTCAAGACTGGATATGGGAATTAATATTTTCACCTATGCCATACTTTATATAAGTTATAAATCCCCAACCGTAAGCAATATACAGCATCACTTAATTTCTGCTCTGCTTTGTGTTTTTAACATCAGACACTGACAAAAAACACAGACACAACTGAGACAAAGTTACACAAGGATATGTAAACTAAACCTCATGCCATGGTTCATCAGATGAAAGCAAAGGGACAGGTCAATGGCCTAGCCTTAATGCAAACTATCTGTAGGTTAAATGAGGATGCACTCATGAGTGGGTGTTTGGATCTGTACATTGACTCTAACTCAGGTACACGCAGCACAACACATCATACATGAGACAGCTGGGTTCAAAACAACTAAAGCTTATTTTGATTGGATACTCATTCAATTTCGCTGTTTTTTTACATGTGACAATTCATTGCTTTCTTTATCATATATGAGGGTTTTTAGAGTGTTGATTTGGATTAAAGAAGAATTTTGAAGATACATGGCATTTTTCTATTTACTGATATTTTGCTGACAAAACAAGATGAATTGATAAATAATGTCAAATTAATTGACAATGAAAAATACTGTAGTGGCCCCCTTAATCAAGTGTGTCTCATGTCTGGCAGTGGAAAATAGGCCCTGAAATATCTGAGATACAAATGCATTCATGAAAAATATGAAAATGAGTATAGGCTGATGTGCCCTGATGGGTGTTTTCTCTCGAAAGGTGTATAAAAGAGCCATTATGTCCGCCCTTTAATATCTGACTGACTTCCTTTGAAATCTCCATCAACACGTGTTGTCAATGGGGCTTTGCGGGCACAAGGTAAGCCCAGGTGTTTCCACAACACAAAAACACTTGACACACACACACATGCAAAAGTGCACACACGCTGTCACACAAACATGTGCGCTCGAAGGTGTGCTTGGTCTTAATACCTGAACTCGATCCGTAACAAGTTGAAACAGAGCTAAAACCTCAGCCGCCACTGTGTGAGTTAGTGTGTGTGTGTGGGTTGACTGTGTGTGTGTGTGTGTGTGTGTGTGTGTGTGTGTGTGTGTGTGTGTAAGTGTTTAAGCTTCCCATCCCAACAGCATCTGATGTCCCCTATGGGCAGCCATCCTGGTAGCTGAAACTCAAAGCCAAGCTTAAAAGGCTAAAAATATTTAGAAACATAGATAAGCCTGCCACAACAACCCTTACTTGTCAAGGTGAGTGAAACATTACGGGCTGAGAATAAGGAGAGTGTCACCCTGCTAATGACCTCTGTCTACAGCTACTCAATAAACAGTTGACAACACAGACTCACATGCTGTTGGATGGCCCTGTTGACATAAGGAAACAACATAACCAAATTGACACATTAGGCTTCATGAAGTGACATGGCATCATTTGAAAACTGCAGCTCATTCTCAACCATGCCAGCTATGTTAAGGTGAGGATGAGAGAAGGTAAAATGTGTAAAAAGGTTGCCCCCTGTTTGGAATATTTGGCAAAGTGCAGGAACGGGATATGCCATTCTCAAGGGGTCCACATTCATGCCAACCTATATAAATAGAAATAGAAATATATAATTTAAACATCCATGTAACAAAAAAGATGACACAGGCTTGATTTTCCTCTCGCTCTCAAACAGCATGCTGAGTCATGAGCATATTCATCTGTTTGATTACTACCAATTTCGAAACAATGACCCTGAAGCAAAGTAATACTAGAACTTCTACATTCCGTAACTCAAACCATCTTCACTACCACACCTGCAAGGCACAATCTCCAAACATAAAAGAATAGTGCTGAATATGCAAGAACATAAACAATTTACTCTTGTCCACTTACCACACCACACAGCATCTTAAGGCTCCTGAAAGATAAGACAAGGTTTTCCTAGGGTCTCTCTGTGACCCGGCTCTCATAGGTCGTACAGTCTGCTGTGGTCAAGTGTGACTGTAAGAGTCGAGCTCCCTGCGGCCAGCTGACCACTCTGTGAAGCGGGACATGATGGAGGATACAGGGGATGTCCTGCCTCTCTTCTCCTCCACTTGTTTCACTTTACTGACTGGGCCATCTCAACTTGCCTTGCATAGGTGTCTAACAACAAATCCTCGCTCCGCCCCCTTATTTCTGACATGACTATTCATTAAACGGCCAGGCAGGCCCAGGCTTGCCCGCTTAAAGATTACATCGACCAATATCCCAGATCAGAAGGGGAAGGAAAGGCGTGTTGAGGAGAGACTTCTGATTTCATGTTGGTAAGAAAGAGACGGACAGAGTGAACAAATGTACAAGATGAACTGTGCATATCAGTGTGATCCTGCAAAAACCTGACCCCTTTTATTACGTTCTCAAAAATTTGCTCTTAAATTCCTTTTGAGAAAAGTCATGGTCGTCAAGCTGAAATCTGGGCTGGACATACAACGTTAGCATACATTCTCTGGGTATTAAGTTTCCTTCCAGAAAAAAAAATATGCAGGTACATACACCTGCGAACATATTTGCATGTTTTTTTTTACGTAAAACGCACAGACACGCCCCCAGCCAACAGATGGCTCTACAGTGGAGCAGCAAGGGGTCCTGGCTAGGGGTTTAATTAGCCCTCCCCAAACACACACACACACACACACGCACACACACCCCACAGTCCCAACAGTCTGCTCAGCAGGGAGATAGAGAGAGGGAAAATGCTGCAGAGAAGAGGGAAACTACATTGGAGGGAATCTCCTCAGCACTGGAGGGAAAAAATGAGACAATACAAAACAACAAGCAAAATGGGAAAAGAAAAGATCTTTGAAAGAGTATGCGCGTGTGTGTGCGCACAAAGAAATCATCAGATCGGACACAGAGCAGGAAAACACCTGCAGCTCACAGAAATAAACTACAGCTTCTCAACAGCAAAGGATTGACCACAAAGATACAAACTGGACTGCAATGGGAGCTTCCTACCATCACGTTGTCGTTCATGTCCCTCATTTGGTAAACGTCCATAGAGACCTCTGCAGCACTGCGGTGGCTCCCCAGGGTGCTGGTGGAAGGCACTGGGCGCTCACCTGGCTGGCTGCCTGGAGGGAGCTCATAGTAGGTGCTGTCTGGCTCCCTGAGAACACATGACACCATGGATACAAGTTGATCAAAGAGGGATGAGCTTTCAAATGAATTAGCATAGCACAAGTGTGTCACATGACAAGGTACCTGATGTGCAAATAAACAGAACTTGATAACTTGTTTAAGTTATTGTAGTTTTAAAGGAAGTCAAATAAAATGTTGGGTAAAGTTAATCCTTTGATTGTTTTTGTTGTTTAAAAAAAAAGTATGAATATTTTGAATTTTATTACAGGGAAAATTGTTGGATTTATTATATATATTTACAAAAGAAAAGAGAAACCTTGATATCAGATTTTCACTAGACGTTCTATAATATTTAGTAATGCATAGTAATATATATTCCTAAAATATTGTTAAAGAGTAAAACAACTGCGATATTTACTTTTATTGAAAAATGTTATCCTCATAAAATGCAGTTTGAAATCTCCCAGAAGGTTCAGTGCAACATTGAGAAAGAATTGGAAGCAACTTAGTTGGAAAATTTAAATATTTACAGTTTCTCGTGTGCAGAGAAAAGCACAGAATGAACATAAGTGGCTGAACATGTCGATAGTTGTTTGTCTCTGATTCTGTGTCTGCTCACCAAAACCTCTAATAAATATCTTATTTTGTATTCTTAAAAAGGACATCCCTTTCCTAAATTATATTAACAGAACACACTATGGATTATTATTACATTTGGAATAATCCTATCATAGTTTATTGATTAGATCATTTAGTTGATGACAGAATCACATGTGTTTGTTGATCATTGCCTGATGCATTTCACATTTTTAATAAAACCATTATGTAATTTGGAAAATATGTTCATTAAAACAATCATCAGCAGGTGTTGTTGACACTCACAGGGAGCTCCACAGGTGCTCAAAGGTGCCTCCTTCTTCAGTGACAGTGGACTGGGACATCTTAGAGGGCGGGTAGTCTGGTGAGGGACAGATTACTCTGCAGAGCACACACATCAAATTATTTAGAATACAAAAAAAAATTTAAAAAAAGAATGATTCAAATAGTTGGAAACAAACTACCAGATAATCATATTATCAGTGTTCAAAAGGGAGAATAAGCAATTCGAAACACACACACACACACACACACACAACACACTCATCCAGGTGTGAGCACACCAATAGTCCCAGTGAGGTGGCGCATGGTGTCAGGGGGCTTGGGCGTGTTCAGACCTGCCCGCCTCATCACTCATTCTGCAAAGTCTGAGCATCACCTCCGCCTCTGTCTCAAAATAACACAGCCTGCACTGCAATCTTAAAATGTGTTCAGACATAATGGAGCTATCGAAGCAAAAAGCAAGTGGAGTTACAGCGGATTGCATTATCCTCTGGTTGCCTACACACTTTGCAGAATAATCGCTTCTCATTAATGACAGAAACGTGTCTTACTTTGACAGAGCAGTTGGATGAAGACATTGTCGTTACAGTTTAGAAATGTACCTGCAAAGGGACACCCGGGCCTCTGCGATGGTTTGAGTAACAATACTTCGAGTTATCAAATAAATCCGTGTTTGTCACCACAAATAGAAAATCAATTGCTCTGCAGGTCTACCGTTTAAAACTGATAAAGTGGGGTCTCCATATCACCAGTTTGATGTGTCAGAGATGCCATAGGCTACAACACAAAATCCTGTCGGGCATATTTGTTCATACCAAAGTTTACTATATCCACAGTTGCGCACCAGAGCAGCGTCATATCTCCTTAGTAACCCCTCGACTGCACAAGAAAAAGTGTGGCAAAGGTGCATGGCTTTAAAAATGTAAGCTGCAGCTTACAGTAGTCATACATGCAAAACCTTCCTCTGGAATCGATGCAGGTAGAGGCGATGTGTTACATTTTCTCTGAATTTGTTTTCAGTTTAATTCCTTTCATTTGTACAGCAACTGTATCTCTACAATCAGAGATATTTACCCTTCAGTATGGAGGCCTTTACTGAATCGATTGAAGATATGCAGCTCAGTAAACATCTAAAGTGATGTCATGATTATTGATCAAAAGTTGTGTTGTTCTTCATGCTGATCATGTGGCCATTTGCCCAACCACACGTTTAGGCTCGTTTAATACAGTTTGGGTTCATGCCACATAATCAAATCGGCGTGACATAAAAAACAGCACAGGCATGATAAAGAGGCCTGCGACGTGCACGCGGGCAGTCACTCAAGTAATGTGGTGACCGCGGAGCGCAGCAGCAGCTGTGACTGCCGGTTCCCGCGGTTCTCGAGGTGACTGCCGCCTCAGAAACCAGGTCCCATTCCTAGTTCGTCCCTCAGTGCCGCCTCGTCAGATCCAAGACGCTCGTGTGTTTGCACAAGGGATCTGACAAAGCGTCGCTGCAGGACGAGCAGAGGGAATGAAACGGGTTGGCCTCAGAGCTCTGCTCCACACTTGGAGCAGCTTAATTGGGATCCACCGGACCACAGACGTTTTTCATTTTCACTTAGTCTGCTCCTTTCACCCTGACCAAATTTATGATTTATTACTTATGATCAACACAATTCAGACATTGCTTTTTAGAACATTTGGTTTGTCCTTTTCTTATGGATGAGACAGACAGACAGACAGACAGACAGACAGATAAATAGATAGATAGATAGATAGATATTGATAAGCGTTGAAAAAGTTGATTTAATGACATGCATTGAAAATAAATATGTAGGCTATTGTCTTTTAATTATAAATTGCCTTCAGCTATTTTGAAAGGTTATTCTAAAAAGTACGGCCTCTGCTGGTTCTGTGCCTAAATGTCTTTTCAAGTTTGACAATGACAACTGATATTCACCTGTCTCTACTTTGAGTCTCCCCTCCCGGGTTACGGCACCCATGACAACACACACACACACACACACACACACATGCACACACACTGCCTTCCCGAGGGCCATTTTATGCAAGAAAATACACTGTCCCAACTGAGAGGAAATTAATTTAAAATTGTTTTAGATTCGCTCCTCCACAGCCCCAAGTGAAAATCATATCCCATATGAGGAATCAAAGGACGAGGTATCGTTGATTGGGTGTCGCTCGTAATCTAAAGATATTTACTGAAATAAGTCCTGTACATATAAAAACTAAAGTGTTGATATCATAAATAACTCAGCATCTTTTTAAATTTATTTTTACTAAAATAATGACACCGAGCTATAGCCTATAGCCTATGTTAAAAATGATTCACAATCGTTCGGGGTCGTTTACCAAATAAGCTATAGCCCACACATGTCATTTGAACAAAAATAAATAATACGGATAGCAGTACAACACTATATAGGGGATTCTTTCTAAGGCATACATTTTTTTTATTAGATACAATTTCAATAGATTTTCTTTAACCTATTAGACCTATTTATGTAGGCCTGTGCTGAGAACACATAACGCAAAACCTTAACAAACAACATTCACCAACCAAACCACGTCCAGCTGAAAAATCACATCAGAACAATAACCAGAAAGATTTTAAACTAAGACACTTAACCAGCCTTTTCAAATTATTAAGACAGCTGGTCCATTCTTGACAGCTACTTATTTTATGTTTTTAATTTTTAATTTTGATTATTTGTAAAATTTGGAAAACAAGAGATACCGAAAAACTAGGCACGCTGATAAACAACAATATGACATCAGCTAAATAGGCTAAGATCACGATACCACTGTAGGCCATTCAAATAAATCACAAAATAAAGCAAAATAAACGTACCTGAAGGTTATTATTACTCCAATCCAAATACCGAAGAATTATGTTGCGCCAAGCACCTGCCTGTTTATTATCAAACATGCCAAGAGAGTGACCCTCCATAAACAAACAGCAACAACTAAAGAACTGGAAAATCGAGCGACTTTACAGTAGATATGATAACAGCGGTTGAGATTATTGACTTTTCGGAAAAATATAATTAACTGCGAAGTCACGAGGAAAACATGGTTTGCATGCTGTTCAGGGACGTGTGAGCTTTGCTGAGGGAGACCGAGGAGGAGGTGAAGCGTTTTTTTTGCGCTGGGAGAAGGGAGGCGGTAGCGCGGTTTGGGCGCACATAAGCGGGAAAACCTTTTCCAGCTGAATATGAAAAGTAATTTAGCCTATCTTGTGCCGTTGACTAAAAGACAGGCTTATGTGAAAAAAACACAATCCACAGACTACATGAAAAAGTATAGATATATGATGAGGTTAAAAATAAATAAAAAAACATTCCAATTATATTAACCTACAACATGGCAAGCTGATTAGCCTGTAAAACAAAATTATATTGTTCCTTATGTATTAAGTTACATACACACGCACACGCTGACACATATACGCAGCTAAAAGAGAAAACACAATAATGAACTACATTTCCCAGAAAGCACTACACAGCAGCAGAACCTATTTGATTGGACAGCACCGGTATGACATCATCGGCTCATACAAACAAACTAGCAACAGTTAGATCAACAGTCGGTGCCCCTAAAACAATCATGCGAAGAATAAAAGTTTTCTTTACTGCTCGTGGGAATTTCTAAATCTCATTTAATTGACGAAAGCAACTCAATAGCCGCTAGAGGTAAGTTCTATCATTTAGGGTAAAGATAGTGAAGGTTGGCTAACTGCTAAATTGCTAGTAGCGGTATATGCTAACGTGAGTGTTGAATGAGTCCAGTGACAACAAACAAACAGCTGACATTACCGTTAGCATTAAAGTTTCTTCTTTCTATCTACAGCGTTAGACGTGAACTATATTATAGTAATAGCTCGACGATGAAATGGCATTTAAGTCGTGATTTAGATTGGGTTAATGTGTGGCCAACGTTACTACTTTTAATTGCAAGCCAACTAGCTAATGCTAGGCTAACTTAGCTACCTGCAGCTCAATTCTCTTTGCTGAGTTTGGATTTGAATGCATCCGTCTTTACGCAGTGCTTTCCCTATGCAATGACTGTTCTTGCATGACAGAAGAACCATTTATTTGTCTGTGTATGTAACCCGTGTGTATCTTTACTGTGTGAAGCGTGTTTGATTATTGGACCTATGGTGCCATCAGGTGTTAACATGTGGGAAGTACACCAATAGGCTGTCTGTCAAAACTGTACACCTCTCAAGCAGTTGGGTTACATATTACAACAATGATAACTATCGTGATAACTGTATTTCTTTTCTTCCGTAGGATGAATTTCTCTGAGGTTTTTAAGCAATCCAACCAACTCTGCAAAGTTTCCCCTGATGGGAAATATTTGGTAAGTGTTTTAAATATTGTTATATATATATTTTTGCTAATGTATAGTTTTGTAATGCAGTAGAAATACTACTTAACACTGATTTAATTTCCCTGGTTAGGTTGCTAGTTACGAATATATATCATATTTTTAGTTTATAGTTATATTTTTAGTTATTGTGGATTTTTACTTTTTTACTTAGTTAATATTCCTTACTGTTTATTGCTTATTTACTTATTTATAATACTTGTTTTTTACTATGTCTCTTGTCTGCACTATCCACTGTGCTGCTGTAATCCTGTAAATTTCCCCACTGTGGGACTAATAAAGGATTATCTTATAAAAGTGAAGTGAGTTAGAAGTGTTGTTCTCTCTGGCTGTACTTGTCAGGCTACCTGTGTGCAGTACAGGCTGGTGGTGCGAGATGTGAGCACACTGCAGATCCTACAGCTCTACACCTGCTTGGACCAGATATCCTACATGGACTGGTCCTCCGACTCTCTCTTTATCCTCTGTGCTATGTACAAGAGGGGACTGGTCCAGGTGAGAGGACAGGAGAGGACAGGAATTTGAGTATGTTATTCAGCATGTAGTGTAAATGCTTGTGGTAGGTCTGGGAGGTTAATACTGTCAGTGGGGATGTGATTAATTAATTGTTATATATAAATCCATAAAATGTTTTACGTAGTCTCGCCTTTTTTTTTTTTTTTTTTAAAACGGAGTATCACTATAACTATTGCACAGTAAAAATAAGCAATATAGAGGCATCTCTTTGGGCTCCAGTAGCTTGTAGTGGTCATTTTACACTTTATGGATCAAACAATAAACTAAGACATCTAAATAAGTCATTGAGCGATAACTCAACAAAAAAATGGTTTATTGCAGTCTTAAAAACCATAAATTCATAGTATTGCCCAAACAAAACATTAGATTTGTATTGTTTAATAGAGCACTTAAAATGTACATATAATATGGTTTTAAGACATATTTGATTAGTTCTGTGTCCTATAATCAATAAGATATTAGAGACAATAAAGAGGAGAAATGGGAAAAACAACATTATTGATGAATATTTTAAAGTATCATTTAGACAATTTAATTCAAACAACAGGATTGGAACGTATGTTTGTGTGATTTTTGTTTTGTTTTTGTGACTGGAAAATCCATAATTTCTTATCTAGAGTTTTGTCAGACAGGTAAACATGAGATGAAGTGCTCTCTGGATGTTATTTGAACAGAAAGTTTTGCATTGAACTACTAAAAGGCCATAATGCCAATAATTCACCACATCCTGTTTTAACAAACTATTAAAATCATTTTAACAAATGTAAAAATAATATTTCCTCTTCAAAATATGCATTCTGTGTCTTCACCAGGAGGGTTTTCAGTTTGAGTAACTTTGTAAATTTCACTTAAGTGCAGTTACTTAAAGCATATTCAGTTTTGCATCACAGTTTCTTATTTTAGAAAAGGTGAAACTGTTTTCCATGAATCCTTTTTTAACAGTGACATTGATCATTTTGCACATTTTTGTTTCCTCAATACAAAGGGATATTTTAGTGTAACGTCAGTCTTGTGTGCATCACGGAGCCAGTAGCTTACCTTTGAAGGGGGATCCACTGCCAGTCTTTCATGGTTTCTGATGCTCAAGTGTTTCTTACTGTTTAAAATCAAGTTTAGGGAGATGCAGGATGCGTATGATGGTATCATCAGTGACGGCTGATTGCTGTCCTTCTGTCACTCTTGTGTTTCTCTTCAGGTGTGGTCTCTTGAACAGCCAGACTGGCACTGTAAGATTGATGAAGGCTCAATAGGACTAGTCTCCTCGCGTTGGAGTCCAGACGGACGTCACATTCTCAACACCACCGAGTTCCATGTGAGTGTGAAGTTGGTGCGTGCATGCATTCATGCACACGAAAGTGTGTTTATGCTTGTCTGGTTTCAACTGTTGCTGGCCCGCAACGAAGGGGGACCTGAAAATAGCCAGACACCAGAGACTGTCTTGACCGCCCCTACACTCCCCCCCCCACCTGCTGCATGTATTCAGCCTGATTTCATAGTTCCCCTCCTGTTAGCGTCCTGTCATACACGGGTCTCAAGTACCTCTGGAACATGGGTGCAATGTAGATATGCCCTTCCAATCTATGGTCTGGTATTTTCTATGGCAGCAAATCCTATTAATGATGTTCTTAGGCTACAACCAAACTAATACGTTTTTGTTTACAAAACCGTGTTTTGAGAACAAAGCATAACACAAGCGTTTAAAAAAAGATAATAATAATTTCCGGCCATACTAACATGCCTGAAAACGCATATCACATGACCATTCATGTACAGCATGCACGTGGTGTGTAAACAGGAAAGCAGATTGTCTACTCTGCGGATGCTTAGTTACAGAAAATATGAGTATCTTGTTCGATGCTTAAGATCTTCCTCTGTCTTCCACACACATACACTAAAATAGGGACAAACTTAGTGGAAAAAAGCACAGCTAGCAAATGGAAAGTCCTCAGTGTTCATGTCAACCGCCCTCCTCAAAGATGCAAACCATGCCTTCAAACGTCCGCTCCATAGAGATGTGACGAATCAGGGATGGACATGTTGTGACTCGACTGATAAGAGCCAATTAAGATGTGAACATGGGTCTCTGGTTCTGCCCATCCACGCTAAAACGTTTTTGTTAATCGTGGCCTTAAGAATTATGTAGTTCATGTTTTTTTTTGTTTGTTTTTTAGTATAATCAAGCGTTCCTTTATAGTAGTGGGGGTTTCTATTGGAAATTCTTTCATACATTAATATTCACTCTTCAATATAACAAGGTACACAAAATCAGTTTTACTACCAGAGAGATTTTGTTTCATTACTTTAAATACTTAAAATCTGCGTCATGTGAAAGTCAATGTGACAATTGATCCCTCCTGCCAAAAACAGGCCAATGAAGAGAGAGAGTCAGGAGACGTTGAGTGTTGTTTATATAACAGTCTGCAGAATTGAACCCAGACTAATAAAGATGTGTTTAGTTCCATTCAAGTCCTCTTGACTGCTGGTTTACATTCACTTCATAATAAGCTCGTGTTGTAAGGGGTGAGAAGCTATAGCAGCTACATGGGGAATATGATGGGGGCACCGTCTTGGGCTGTGTCCGTCATGCTGAACCTGACTCCGGGAATCATTTGACAGGTGTTGTGGCCCAACACACAACTGTGTCTGGTCTGGAGAAGGGTGCAGGGAGTGCAAGTGTCTGTGGCATGTCTGCTTTGTGTCTGTCTGCGTCTTAAAGAAATAGAACGGAGGCTCTTAGATATAGCATCTGCATAGAGCACTATAGTTCAAATTATCAATATCTAAAGTTTTTTTCCCCCAATGTATCTGTGTCAAATGACTCATCATAACCAATTTAAAATGCTTTCTGGGATTAATTTCCCGAGACAATTATTCGATAATCAGAAAAATAATTGGTAGCTATTTGGATAATAGATCAGTTGTTTTTTCCCGCAAAAATGTCAGGCATGTAATTGTTCAAATTTTTTAATTTTTAATTTATTTAACCTTCGTTTAACCAGATAAGTCAATTGAGAACCAGCTCTCATTTACAGTGATGACCTGGCCAAAAAGGTAGCAACAGGAAGCAAGTCGTTACATATGAATAAAACATAGAAACATCTCAATTAATCTCATACAAAAATAACAACATGATATATACAATATATAAAAAAACAAGTGTTCAGGTAGAAGCAAACTCAGAAACAGTTGCAGTGATCAGAGACTATCGTTCGTAAAGAGTTATTGAAAGACGGTAACGGAATGATTGTTTTGGAGTTTTAGCTTCGTTTGCAACTCGTTCCAGTCGCTTAGAGCAGCAAACCGGAACGAGAAGCGGCCGAAGACTATGATGATAGAGAGCGGAGATATGTGGGGGTTTTACCAATTCTAGTTTTATAGATGATCTGTTAAGCGAGCCACTCCAAGTCAATATTTCTGATGAGGAGCTCTGAGAAACCAATGTCAAGACCTGATATATTAGTATTATCAACATATTCCTCACTCTTGATTGTCATGGCGAGACTTTATATGAATCCCTGATGGGTATTTGTTATGGTTTAATAATGACATGGTAGTCCATGTCTCAACATCCTCTCGCCTGTTGTGCATTCAACAACGTGTTACTTACTGCCATTATCACCTGGCTAAACATGAGCCACAAGCTGAGTACCACTAAACGTTGCTTAGCATCCTTTAGTAGTCGAGTTTGAAAAACTAATTTAACAGAGGCAAAATAGGCACCGGCTACCACATTGCCAAGGGGTCCACTGAACTTACCTTCACCCCAGCCCAACATTTCATTAAGGCTGTGCCAGACGGGTGTTCGTGTCGGGTTTGAATTTCAGCCCCACTCATAAACAGCCTGCTATATTAACTTGTTTAGGGACAGCTGCCTATGGTGTGGATCGTGCCACTGTGTGTGTGTGTGTGTGTGTGTGTCTATTTGTCAGTAAATCTGCTTAGCTGGCTTTGTGTCTGACTGTCCGTTTGTAGCTGTTACTGTGTTTTCTTTTCAAACCCAAACAGAATATTGTCAGATCTTTGTGATCGGTACACAGTAATGTATCGGCTCACAACTGACAGTAGACCAGTGGGAGAATGACAAAGCCTACTGTCTGTGTCCCTAGTGCTAACAGGGTGGCAGCCGTAGACATACTACAGGTAAGGACCTCTTGTCCAGGCAGCTAGAAATGCTTTTGAGTTTTTCCTCAAAGGCCCCAAGTCAGAACTACAATGAGTTTTGAGCCAGACGTGATGAAAAAAAATATGGGATGGGGCCGTGTCACTGATTTAATAGAAAGTCTCATTGCTGAAACCTAACCCTATCTGTTGTGAGACTTCACGCAAGTTGTCTTCTATTTGAATTCCCATTCCCGTCGTTTATCTTAGGACCTCACAAAATGCCACTCACACATCCACGTTAATCCATGTGATAAAGTGAGCTTGGAAAACCTCCAGCCAAGGACATCATTGAGCTTGACTTCTCTAATGGGTTTTTTTTGTTTTTTTTAAACATTGTTGGGATTGGATTAGCAATAGCATTCTTGGCCAGTACTGCTGGAGACCTGCTAGCGCGTAGCATTGTTGGCAACAACGCTACCGGACTAAACTGCAAATGTAGGCAGCTGCTTCACTGCAGGACGGGACAATAGCTCACCCATACCTATGTGTGGGCTGCAAGAGGCTCCAGTTCCTTGGTAGAATCATGAGGCTGTAACGGGAGAAATAGGCTATATTGGTTTGAGATGGCTTCCTATGTGGAATGCCTGCAGTCTAATCCTCTGCTGACAGATAGGCTTATATGGCATCAGAAACACTCGCCCATTCTCTCCCACTCACATAGGCCAGCAACAAGAATGGCTGATAGATAGGTTTTATTCCAGGTTGCTGTCAGTAACTTTGGTCCACATCTGATTGTGGTTCTCATGTTTCCTGCAGGCTGCACTGTTGGTAAGGTTCTGGAATTCCCTGGTTTTCTTGTCATGAATACTTTCTAATAGATATTAAGTGGACAAAATTAGCTTTAATTGTCCCATTTGGCAGTGTCTTAAGAAGATTGTCTTGTCATAACATGTCGAGTGGATATCATTTGTACACTTCCTGATTACAGTTACAGTCTCAAGGGGATTTGCAGGTGCCGTATTATAAAACAATAATTCTCAGCGCCTCCACCCCTTTTTTTTTTTTTTTTTAGAAAACCACCCATTTGGTAAAAATAACTAAGAAAGCATCTCTAATCTGGAATTCTTGTACATTTAGTGATCAAAATGTACTTGTCTGTAATTACAGCCGTTACTGATCACCAGTTGCAGTTATGCTAACCACGGCACAGACGGGGAATTTTCCATCTCTGATGGATAAACGGCAGCTGTTATATTTGAGTTTAGCCTTTTCATGCCACCCTCAATTCCCTAGCCCCTATCCCCAAGCTCCTGCTCACCTTTTGGTGAGGATACTTCATCTAAAGTGTAGCTTTACCAGCTAAGGATCTTATTCCATAGCACCCCACATGGAAAAGCATTTCCCACCTATTTTCTTCTACCCACCCGCCTACCCAGTTTAAAGTTACACTGCCTTTCAGGTCTGGATCTCCACTCATCACTTATGTGGCGGGTTCAAGAAGTGTATGTCTGTTTCTGTTTGAGCAATGTTGATATTTTGTTGCCATGGCACCATGTCTGAGGGGGATGTCCAGGAAGCGTGCAGTGAGGTGTTATTACAGGGTCCGCACAGCTGGATGGCTCGACCAAACAGGAGAGTCGACACTTCAGCCCAGTTGGGTGACAGACTTTGCGAGGTTCAAATGTCTGTCTGGACACTCTGATGAAAGCCTCGTCACTTCAGTAGTTTTAGCATTGCACATTCTCTAATGCAAAATACAGCTTTAAGGGTAGGCTCAAATTTATATAGCCAAAATATTTCTTTAATTATATTTACATTATGTTATTATTTATGTGTGTATACAGGGATCTCTCCAGAGGCGTACACAACTAGTTTAAGTTAAACATTTTCACATCTTAACAATCAAAACATGATCCCACATAGCTCAATGCACCCACGGCATATTGGCTTACTGTAAGCTGTAAAGGAAGGTATGAGGGCCATGCATTCAACACCCGTAATGGTCCAGTGTTGTGCTTGCATGCCCTTGATGCTTTATGTTAGTAATGACCACTGTACTCTATGTGTAATACAAATGTGTATGTAAATGTAGAGCAATTGTAGGCTGTCGGTAGGATTGCAGCTTTCTCTGTGGAGACTGGTTGGTATTTGAGTGACAGCTGTCGAAACTGAGCATTAGCACACGTGGTCTTTGTTATGCCGACTTGTGGCCAGATAGTTATTCTTTGGCTCTGCTTCTCATTCGTGGGAATGTTCACAACCTGCTGGCTGTGCAACTTGCTGTTAATGTGCGACACTTGTCGAACATGACATCAGTGGACTGATTTCACATGTGTCGATGTTTTGGATCTGTTCATTTAATATTTGCCCAAGTCCTAAATGAATGGTTATAATCTCTTTCGATCCCTGTCAGTTACTGCAACCCCTTGAACATACGTGTTCATCCCCTGTGGAAATGCACTTCACACACTCGGGGCCCAACAGGGCCATCCATCTAATGATGGACAGATTCCATGTCAGTGTCTTATATCCCTCACAGAGATTTATCATGGACCTCTTCAAAGACATAAGGCACTCTGTCCACAGCCGTTAATGGGCGTGGTGGCCCATGCTGGCCTGTAGTCTGGATCTGTTCTGCTGATGGAAACGTCTTTGGGTGCAGAGGAGCACTTAGAGGCCTCATTAGGATAGCAGCCTGGTTATTGAGCTCGTATTGGGTCGCTGTTGACACCCAGTCACCATAGACAACACTCATTAGATCACAGCCGCAGTTAAGAACGTCTTACCGAAGGCTAGGGGTCGAATTTATCTTATTTAGAGTAGTAGAAGTCTAGTAGAGAGGGTATCTGGTCCACAATCATCGTGCAGTTTTCTCAAAGTAGCTTGTAAAATCTTCAACACCCCATCTGGAATCCAACATGTTTCTTTTACATGTGGTGTTTTGAGCTGTACTCAACAGATTTATCAGAATGGCTGGTATTTTAACTTGTCACTGTATACGTCTGCTGGTAAGTAACAAGAAGTTACAGACAAGAATCCCAGAGACATGTTTGGGTAACGACAGCAGTTTCTAAATGACCTCCACTGGAGGTCATTTTTCCACTGGACAACTATTCAATAACCAGAGTAAAAGGATCCTCATCAAAATACTTTCACTTGTGAGATAATCCACAGTGATGTTTTTTTTTTCTTCTCTTTCATCTGGTGCCGTGACAGCTGAGAGTCACCGTCTGGTCCCTGTGCACCAAAGCTGTGTCTTACATCAAGTATCCCAAAGCATGTCAGAAAGGTCAGTCTGAGAATGATATCGCTTTATATGTTTTTCCTGTGGCTTATGATTGTATATGTATAACCATGAGTACCTGGGAGCAGGGCCGCTGGTCTGAGTGCCTCGGCATGCCCCAGGAATCGCATGCCATTCTTTACCTTGTGGCGCGACCCGGGGGTATGAGGCCAAACTATGGTCCTCTTCGCTGACAGCTGTGGCCCTCTTCAGTAAATGGGGCATGCTCTTCATAACAGGCCTGTCAGCAGCTTGGGGGAAAAATGATTGTCCATGCCTCTCCTCATGCAATACTATGTCCCTCTACGACCTGTGTATCCTCTAAACCCTCATATAAATAATGTGGCCGTGATAGTTGCATACCGCCGACCCGATGGTGTCGGATAATTACATTGGATGAAATAAACAGGAAGCCACGAGGCTACATATTCAGTTATGAGCATAGATAATTGGCTTTTTTCTAGCCAATATATACAGTATGTTGTTTTTTTTTATCAAAGATGAAAATATGTTTTATTGCGTCATTGTATTTATTTATTCCTTGCTGCTGGTGTTACTAAACCTTCTCTGAGGAATCAAGTTTAGCCAAAAGCTAAATATTAAAACATGTTATTACTTGATACATTAATTTCATGGACTATATTATAAGCATTACACCCAACTAATGCACGTCCTTCTAGGTTGATTTATAGTTGGTGGTTTGTTTGTTTTTTGAACATGCATTTGTTGTTACGGTGTACTTGTCATTGTAAGGTATCGTACTTCTGATTAAATGCCATAACTGGTCTGGTTATAGCTTCCTCCCGTCATCTTCCACCCACAGGTATAGATTTCAGCAGAGATGGCTGCTACATGGCCTTGGCTGAACGCCGTGACTGCAAAGACTATGTCAGTGTGTTTGTGTGTGACGACTGGCATTTACTTAGGGTAAGTAAGTATTTTGCTTGAGTTTTATGACCGTGATTATACATTTGACATTTGAGTCGGCAACAGTGAAGAAATCGAAATGTTTGTGAAGGTAGGAATATGATTTAGTAAAACATCTGAAAAATGATTTGCTACATGTACTCCAAATATTCATTCCTTTTTCTGTAGGAAGAATTTATACAGAGTTCATTTGATTTTATTTAACTTGACTCCCTCACAGCATTTTGAGACTGAGACACAGGACCTGGCAGGGTTGGAGTGGTCTCCCAATGGCTGTGTGCTGGCAGTGTGGGATAGCTGCCTGGAGGTGAGTCCTTTTCTTTACAGACTTAACATTTCACAAGAGAACGGGACAGATTAACGGCCTTGCTAGTTTTGTTGAGCAGGAACTAAAGTCTATCTGCTCCAGTGGATCAGTATTTAAAGCTAGGGTAGGCGTTCATTTTAGCATTTTTTGTTATATTTGTTTAAATTCTCTTGACATCCTGACATCAATTCATCAAATGCTCTAACTAGGGTTGCCCGTTTTGTTTAATTTTAACCGGTAACTACCCGGTTAATTTTGAAGAAACAAACACAAAATGATTCACTCAATGAGCTTTGATGTTGCATTTCAAAGTGCTTTATCCATTTAGATGTGAAGAAATGTTAATGTTTTTGTTGTAAATCTTAAAGGAATTGATCTTATTTTTTATTGGCTTTGCTGTAGTTTATTTCCACATTTAGATCAGGTCACAGGTGCTCCGATCAATCAGCCACCACGGAGCCAGGCCGACACACACTGGCCGCGGTGCCGCAGTGCTCGCCGCATCCTGTCTGAACAGATCAATTTGTCCATAAAACAACCTAGACCATAGACTGTAAATGAACCTATAGGCTGTATCCTCCCCACAGTACAAGCTGTTGCTGTACTCTTTGGATGGGCGGTTGCTGTCGACCTACAGTGCCTACGAGTGGTCGCTAGGTGTCAAGTCTGTGACCTGGAGTCCCAGCAGCCAGTTCCTGGCCATTGGCAGCTTTGATGAAAAAGTATGGACAAACTCTTGATTGCTGTCGACATTGAAAAATAGGATCACATTATAGCTTGAAAGGACATAACTATCGGTAATGGTTGTAAATGTGCCATCATATAGTACTCCACTGGTTTGGCGTTGCATTTACACTGCTCTAACATTATCAGATGCACAATGGACAGTTTTGAAATTAGCTTCTTCTTCTTCTTTGTCAAAACCGGTCACCTATATTATCCACAATGCAGCTTGACCAGGGACAGTTTAGTCAAGAGATTCAGATGTGTGATGCTAGTAGCTAATGTAGCCTCAAGCTGCTAGTCTCAAGCAGACATAAGGAACAGGGAACAAAGGTCACTTTTCATTTTTAAAATTGGTGGAGCTCAGAGAAATGGGCTGATTCATTTCTGCAAATAAAAAATAGTATAAACTTTTAAGCGTCTGATATGTTTTGACATAATCCTATAATATGATTTGTTATGTTATCAATATCTGTTCCAAGTAAATGACGAGACTTCATTACCCTCGTGTCAGGTGCGCATCCTCAATCATATCTCGTGGAAGAAAATCACACAGTTTGAGCACCCGGCGTCCATCAACAACACAAAAGCAGTGAGTATTTCCCAGCATTCATGACGAGCCTTGAAGGTATTGCAGTTCAATTATTAACTGTTTGTTGTGTTTCAAGGTTGTGTATAAGGAAGTGGAGAAGAGGACAGCTGTTGGCACTGATGACCTATCGCTACACAACATCACAATGGGCACCACCCTCTTCAACACCCAGAGCAAATGTATGTCAGCCTTTGAAGAGAGTAATCTAAAAGCAGTATTTGACTAAAACTACAGAGGTCAATTAACCAATTTTGTCAATATAGAAACTATTTTTTCTGCTTGACTACTCCAGACGAGATCTGTCCAGCGCCAGTCCAGATTCCTGTGGTCAAACCAGACCCGGACCGAGCCAACCCCAAGATTGGTGTCTCTACTTTGGCATTCAGCTCAGACAGTCGCTATCTAGCCACCAAAAACGGTAAAACTTCACAGCTGTTCACTTTTACTGTCATTGTGAACCCAAGTGGGTTCCTGCGGACCCTTAAAAAGTCTTAAAAGGCTGTCTTAGTCTTAGTTTAATACTGATGCATCTATATCACCTGCATAAGTAAGCGAGACCATCAGAGGGAGTGCTTGTTAGATGAAATCATGCAGGTCCCCCAGAGACTCCTTCAGCTCAGACTGAGAGGTCTTTTAAAGGGACGTTCGTCCACAGGGACCGCCAAAATCAACACAAAAAAAACTTTTTGTAACTTTAAATCCTCAAAATAATTGGTAACATCTATGTTTTTAATATAATTTCCCGTATGCATCTTGCATTAACATCACGCAGATGGTTATTGTTACAATAACCATTTGAGCAAATTTGTCCCTACCCCAAGTAATTGTTTTCTTCAAATGTGGTTATTGAAAAGCTGGGCTTAACTTTAATTACAAATGGCATTAAAACAAATCTTTAAAAGTCTTCAATCTAATTTGTCGTTGGTAGGCAGTTGGCTGCTGTGGGAGCTGTATACTCTATTATATGTAAATAACAGTTTCCACATTTTTGGTCATAAACTTTAGTGTTAACTTATTTTTGCTGCAATGCTAGTGTTTCATGTCTCTATAATATGTGTTTCTCTGACTTCAGACAACATGGCCAGTGTTGTGTGGGTGTGGGACATGCAGAAGCTGAGCCAGGTGGCTGTGCTTGAGCAGACATCGGCTGTGCGTTGCTTTCAGTGGGACCCCCGACGGCCCCGGCTGGCACTGTGTACAGGCAACACCAAACTCTACCTCTGGTCCCCGGGAGGCTGCGTTTCTGTCCAAGTCCCCACTGAAGGTAACGAGCTCGGCCACTAAGAGTTGAAACTGTCAAGCAGCTGGAATACACAGCTTTATAATGGTGTTCTCAGATCTAGAAGAAGGCCAGTGCACTCTAACGTCTCTCTCTAATGACTAACCCGGGAAGACGACCTGCTCTGTATGTACACGTAAACGGCTCATTCTAAGGTAAAGATAACACAACAATTCTCTCTATTCTGCCAGGTGGTTTGCAGGTCCAGTCTCTAAACTGGCACTGTAGTGGAGACTCTCTGATGCTGCTCGGGAAGGAGCAGCTGTGTTTGTGCTACATGGACATCGACCAGGAGGACAAGTAAATAACAAAGAAGAATAACTTGATTCCAGGTCTCGAGAATAACTTGATTACAGGTCTAGCTTATTTGGCAATACACACTTGGCAGGTAATGTGTTATGGTGGCGACGAGCACACTCAAAATCTCAACTTTCACATGCTGAATTCCAGCTTCTCGTCAAGTTTTTAAGGCCCTCAGTGCAGGTTACTGGGATGTTCCTTTTCTCTTCAAGTCCAAAACATGGAAAAACCTGCCATGACATTCCTCCCAAGCGACAGACAAATCACTTTTTTTTTTTTTTAAATAAGCGAATGTGTACTGAAAAACTAGTTTCGAACACTGAAAAGATAGAGGTTTACAAAGTTTTATAGATTTCACTGTACTTAAGTATTTTGTATGTGTTTTACCTTGAAATTGTGTAATTATTTTGAATAAATTGTCATAAATAAACTGCTGACGGTGAGTTGCTAAAGTTTGTACATCTAAATCTTTCAGTTTATCAAAAAGGTTTGTGTACTCGGCCCAGTTCATGATTGTAATAAGTTCTCTCTCGTAAATTAAATACGTCAGAACTGGCAATGAAATATTTATTTTCTGGAAGCATTCGTGAGTTTACTGCAACAAAATAACAGCAGATAAATAAAACTCAAATAGTATTCACAAATCTATTTGAAGATATTCCTTTTAAAAAAACATCTGTCATGCAAACGTAACATGCAGGAAACATGCAAAAGTAAAGACACAATTATTCATTGGCATTGTTGAGCATGAAAATATGGCCTGGTAACTTTGGTAACACAACAATTATATATTATAGGATGCAGTTTAGGGAAAAAACAAAACACCTAAATCTTGTTCACAAGATATATACCGACAGGTTGTGGTTGAGGAAATGATGTAAAGCTTTGTCTGCGTGAATTTCATTTAGTAAGCCATCGTTTATTCCCACTGCAGAGATTAATGCAGCCGAGTGCAAATGTGTGCCTAAAACGAGTGCAGGACCTTTTTAAGGCAACTTATCAACAAACATAAAGACACGGTTTACAAGTTCATGTTGCATAAAACATGTAACGTACAACATTTAGCTATAGTAGCTAAAGCAGCGCTCCATGTGGAACATGAGCTCCATCCTCTGAGCAAAGACATGAATAAGCAAATGAAACATGGAGAGCACAACACTGGCCAATCAGAGAAGGTCACAACATGTAGTTTATCATCTCCACTGATCAAGGTTCATTGACACTCAAGAGTTTATAACAATCATGTAAGATGACCGTAAAACTAAATCCCTCCATCCATAAGCTGCTATGCCATTCTGCGAAGCTACCCTATGGCCCTGTGATCAGAATAATGCAATCCTTCATGTCAAACCTTTTATTAATGTAGCAAATATGGAACATATTCTTAGCTGGTGGTTTGGTTTCACTGTATTTGTCACTGCTCTACTCTGGTCGGCTGGTTTGCTGTAGATACGAGCCCAAACAAAGCACATCCGTGAAATAACGACCCCGACCAATAACGTCATTGCTTTTGACTGTCTGTCAATCAATGGTTAAACAAGGAGCATGAGACAACAAGAAGCTCACTCTAGAATAAGGTACAGAAGTAATGAATTAATGTGCTCTCTCCTTTGTCTCCAACTTATGTCACATGTGCATACACTCCTGCGGGCCTACGTGTGGGTATGGCAGATTTGCGAGCAACTCTTTGCAGGAAAGGTACTCGGGGCGCAAAAAAAACGAAACAAAAAAACAGACAATCCATGCAGTGCTGCGCATTATTTACCTACAGTAGGCTGACCACTTTACCGCACCAATTTAGGAGGTGTTCACATCTCAAGGGCTCAACTTACACACACAGATTGTGCATTACACTGTAGTGGAGCGACAGCTTCTCTCAGACAGCGCAGTGTAACACAGACACATGGGTTGAATTCAGTTGTAATTTTGAGAAACTTGATTTTTAGAAGCCAATCTTGCCACGGGTTATGGAGTAGCCCAACTTGGCCTCATTGTTGATGAAGGACATGATACCTAGATAGGTCTCGATGAGCAGGGGTCTCTCCAGGATCAGGACACCGTTAGCCCGACCGGGGATGGGGTGCTCCCTGTGGGCTTTCTTCACTGCCTGCACCAGCTGGGTCCTGAAGTTGTCCAACTTGGTAAGAAAGAGAACATGAAATGGAAACACCCCTCCAAAAAACTTCCAATCAATTGTTAGTTTATATCTATAATAACACGCAATATCTAGGATTAAAGCAACATCTTCTGGAGCTACTCTCAAGTGTGGAATAATGGATATACTTGAGAATTTAGCTAAAATGATCTTGCTCCATTTATTACGTGTCGCAATGCTAATGGCTCTGAAGGGGAAGATATAAAATTTTAAATAATCCATTGGATGATGACTCAAAATGCATTTTAGTCTCATCCGATTAAAGAGATTATACCTGGCAGAGAGAGGCCACCGTCTCATCAGCGTGGGCCATGGAGTGCTCTGTGAGGGTGGCGTAGGGCATGTCTGTAGACCAGGGGTTCCAGCGGTTTATGAAGGAGGCCCGAGGACGTTTGTCCCACTGCACACGAATCCCGTAGCCCTCTCTCCTGTAAGAAAACACGTCGGTGTAAGAGCTGTTGGAATCTTAAGGATCAGCCAGCTACCAAGTCACCAAGCTGAGCCACGCATGTTTAGAGAAAGAGAAGAAGGAAAAAAACGGAATACATACAGCCTTTAATCTATTATCATTTATTACATTTCATCTCTTCATTCTGAATATTACAACGCTTTCTTTCCTGTACATCATTTTGTGAACCTTTCTATACAGTAGATGTTAAACATAAAACAGGCTTGCATACTTGTTAAGGGATTTGGGCGGGAACTCAAACTCGCCCACTGAGATGGTGTCTACAGCGTTGAGAGAGATCCTGACGACCTGCTGACACAACAGGTTGATGAAGTCGTACTTGCACACCAGCAGCGACCTGTGCACACGACCAAAAAATGTCATTGTGTTGACAAACCATGTCATATTGTGGTTATATTTCCTCAAACATTTGGATCAATAAAATATAGTTTTTGACTTACCTATCAGTTATAAGCACGAGTCGCTCCCTCTCATTGTTCCAGTGGTCAATTCTGCAAAAACACACAAAAATTGACAAATTGGCCAGCTGCTTTGTAAAGCACAGTTACTCAGTTTACTTGGTTCACTCAGTTGCATTGTTAAAAAAAAGATAAATGTATAAATCTACAAGATAATGAGGGGAAAAACGATCAAATCTTTGGCTCCCATTTAATATGATTAGCAGCTAGATTAGAAAACAAGATCCTTAAAATCTGACAGCTGACTGTAAACAAACATTCACTCTGCAGCTTTAACAAATCTACAGCTGATGTGTCTGCAGGTACATTAGGCCCCTACAGTGCACACAGCAGCTCATCTCACAACAGCCGTCCAGTGTTTCAGGCTGATAATAAAGCAGTTGCATGCTGCTGGGATACTTACTCTGCGAGCAGCCAGACGCTGAGCACCTCTCCATCCTCAGAAGGGAGTGCCACGGTCCTGATGTCGCTCACAGCCTGCTCAATGGTGCCTGGCTGAGATCAGCATCATACAACAGGACTCATCAGCATCACCCATTCCTCCCTGTGGTGTGCTGGTGTAGCTTTGACCAATGCACTGCTATTTAAGCATGGTCTGTTAACGGTTCCGTTTATTTATCACACGTATCTTTTGTATTGAAAGGGGCTATTTTAAAGAGACATGCAGAATCAACGAATCAAATCGGCTGTGGTGTCGATTCACTTACTCTGAACACGAAATAGTCCTTCACTTTCGCTTGCATAGTGGGGTTATGCACATGGAAAGGCGTCAGCGTTTGTAACGGGGGGCAGCAGGCCACGGAGGCTCCGTGTCCGAGGCTTCGCCCGGCCTCCGGCGGCGTGAAGGCAACCTCGACCCCCTCCTCGGCTTCCGCAGAGTGGAGAATCGCAACGCCCGGACTCTCCGGCTCCACCGTGTCGTTCAGCTGGAGCATGGTGCAACTAACGGTGTTCCCGGGAGCTCCCCAGACAATGTGGGCCAAGTGTTAGATAAGACGATGTCCCTTCGAAGATGCAGTCTCACCCATTGCGCACGGACAATGTTTTGATTGTGAGTGCTATGAGGAAGCAGTGCCCTCTTCCTTCACTTCCCCCCTTTGATTTCCTTCCTCTTAAAGGGACATCATGTTTTAACGGAGCCAATTGAGGAAACAGGTGTTCAGAGTGGATGAGCGCACTTTTTTTAATTGTCAGTTCTATGATGACTAAATAATCCAAATTGACCAATTTGATTTGATTCTACACATCCTATTAACCTATAATTATGTGGTTGTGATGTCTCCATATTTAGTCCTACACCCTCAGCCTGCCTCAGCGTTTTTATTGGCTCATGTCCAGTTTTAAGCTATAAGGGTTCAGTCATAGTGTTGGGATCTGGCAGGAGCGGGGTTGGTAATTAGTATAATACATTTAGTTATTGATATCAATACAATTACTATCAATAGGATCATTCATGTATATTAATAATAACGGGGCACCACCCTGGCATCAGGGACTAATAAACAAACAGTGGATGAAGTCTCAAAATTGGTGTTCACTCAAAATCAACAACCAGCTGATACTACAACACATATGCACATATTGCAAAGTGACCATAATTGTCTGCACAATTACTGCTCAATTTTGATCAGACTTCTGATCAGAAGCCTTTCCAGCTAATGACAAGCAGGGTTGCCCTAAAAGTGTGAGCAGTAGCATGCAAGAGGCCTTTTTCTTCTCTACTGTCCAGTTAGGACAACACATTCTCTGTCCCAACTCGTCAAATATCAACGCCTTTGTCACAGGTTATAATCTTACAACCTCCATTTTCAGTTGCGAAGCGCTACATTTAGTCATATTATGACATTATGACTTAGCACTTATGAGAGATTTTTGGGATAGACCTGGTAATGTCAGTTATGAAAATTGAGGCTGTGGTGACGATCACATAAACTGCACACATGACTGCTGCTGCCTGCAGTGGATGTTTTTGTAACATTGTGTTATTGTTCTTACAAAAGTCTGACTTTAGTGTGCTGGATTTATTCAGGAAGCAAAGAGAGAAAACTATTCTCCTCTAACTTGGGTTTCTGGTAAGTCTTTGCTTATCTCTGCCAATCAACAACCTCAGGGAGGTCACACTATCTCACTGTGTCATTA